CCCTCGGGATCCGGGTCCACGTGAGAGGTGCTGGCCAGTGGGCAGCACGGCCCATCTTGTCTGGCTAAGCCCAGGAAGGGGCAGGGCTGGTACCTCCAGGGGGCCACTGTGAGTCCCTACAGCTGGCCGGGAGCCAAAGGCCTCAGCCAACAGGAAATGCTGAGGCTGCAGGGGCCCCTCTGGGATGGCAGTAACTGGGCCGGAAAACCAAAGAAGCAGGAGTCCACAGGCAGTGCACGGAGTGAGGGGTACGAGGTGCAGCCTGCAGCCAGGAGAACACAGGAAGCTGGCGACCACTGGGCGCCCAGGGCCGCTCTTTCGGCTGCAGCTCCCCGCACGGCTCCTCTAGCGAGATCTCGGGCTGGTGTGAGCGCACTGGCTGCAAAGTCCACCGGGAAAGGCCAACCCTGCGGGCTCCAAGGGATGGAGCCCCAGCCCTGCCATCCACCAGTCCTACCAGATCGTGGGAAACTACTTCAACTCTCTAAGCCTCCTAATCTACAAAAGGGAAGTGATCCGTGGCCCGTCTCCAGGGCTGCAGTGCCCAGGAGGTGACATACATGCAGGCAGCCCTCGGTAAGTGGCAGCCGACACCCTCAGCATCAGCAGGATCGGGGACCTGGCTGTGTGGCCTCGGGCCCCTCAACCGCCCCCAGCCCCATCTCTGCTGGCCTCTGCCCCCATGGGCTGCCGGAGTCAGAACCCAGGTTCAGAGATCCCATGTCCACGCTGTTCAAGACCTGTTTGTTTTCATGGATGGAGACGCTGAAAGTCACCCTTTGGACCCCACTCGCCCATCCTTCTATCCCTCGGTACCCACCATTCATTCAGCAGGGATGTCCTGGCACCATGCCACGCCATGAGGATGAGGACACAGCAGCCAGCTGCCCCCGTGGGGCTGGCCTGCAGGTAGGGGACACTTCCTCACCCCTCTACCATCACGAGACCTCAGTGTGGGCGAGAGAGGCGGGGCTGCTTTTACTCTGCTCCCCTATTAGAGAAGGGGACTCCCCCAGAATCACTCCCTGGCAGTACTGAGCCCACTCTGCTTGGCTCCCCAGCTGGGCCCCCCCCCGCCCCCCAACATTCGACTGCTCAGAAATGACTCTCCCAAGAGCTAGAGGGCATCTGTTTGCAGGCAAAGTTCTTATTCCAATAAACACACAAACAATTGGGTCATTCATATGGAGCCAGCCGCACCCCCCACCAGGAGCCAAAGTCTGAGACTCTGGGCTTGCACCTGGAGTCCCCAGCACATCCCTGGGGGGTAGTGTGGTGGCAAACACCTGGCCTCAATGAACACATACTATCTCTATGTGACTTTGGCCACCTAACTTCCCTGCGCCTCAGTTTCCCCCACCTGTGATGCAGGCAATGACAGTGTCCACTTTCTAGAGCCGGGAGGAGTACATGGGCCTGGGTGTTTAGCTCAGTGCCTGGTACACAGTAAACAGGATCATTATTATCACTGTTATTATTTGCTATGATTATTATTATTATTACTACTACTACCACCTGGTAATAGATGTGTTCTGTTAAGGGAAGAAAAAGTGCGACCAGTTAGCTGAGCACTCGGAAGGTTGCTTTAACACAGCAGCAAGACAGATGGAATCCCCGCCACCCTCACTCCTGGGGTGGTTGAGCAGGGTAGCCCAACCCTAAACCTCACCCCACTGACCTCGGCGTAACACCCCCCCCACACCTCCCAGCAATGCCAGCAGCTCTGTTTACCCCATAGACGCCTCATTCCTCCTCTGGGCAAGCCAGCCAAGCAGGCAAAGGGACCAGGAAGTCCATGGGCCTCAACGCCAGCGACAGACCCAACAGCCCTGGGCCTAGATTCCCACTCAGCCTCTCCTATCCTTGCAACTGCCCGCCTGGCAGGCACATTCCCTCCCCTGTGCGGACTCCTGGAGGTGGGGTAGCTGAGGGAGGAGAGCCAGATCAAACCCAGGTCTGTCCGATTCCCAGGGGGCAGAGCCCAACCAGCTCCCTCTAAAACCAAATCTAAACCAGGACCCAGAATAACAACAGCAAATACGTTTGGAGCAGCCAGCACAAGCCGGCCAGACGAAGCGCCGGATAAATATTAACTTACGTTTGCCTCACAGAGCCCTGCAAGAAAGTGGATTTATTATCCCCGTCTTATTGATTAAGAAAGTGAGGCTTGGGACGGGAAGCCACTTGCCCAGCGACGCACAGCTAGTGACCCAGACCAAGACTTGAAGCCAGCTCTGAGGCTCAGAGCCTGAGCTCCCAGGCCCCCACTTTACCCACCAGGCTCCTGCCACCAGCTGGGCAGCGGGGATGGGGACGGACCTGTCTCCCTGCCTCCGAGGCCCTGGTAGGAAGGAGGTCGCTTTGAGGCTGCGGCTCTGTCCGGGCCTGGGCGGTGACTCTAACTGTACTGCCAGGAGCTTCTCTGAGGCCAGGTGGGCAGCCAGGCAAAGCCCAAGGCCATTTCCAAACCTGGGGCAGGGGCCACGGAGGAAACGCAGTAACAAGAGGTAAAACGTCCTGCACGCGAAGATCTGTTTTGTCAAAGCCGTGTTTGCTTAGTGACTACCTTCAGGGAAGCATTTTTTAAAAAATCAAGATTTTTTTTTTCCTCTTTCTTGGGTAACAGGGAGGAGGAACTCGGTCTGGATGGATTCACCTCCCAGAGGACTCCAAGTGGAAAATCACTGCCCAGGGAAGGAGCTGGAACAGAAGGAAACGAAGGCCTAGAGGGAGGAAATGAAGCTGGGAGAAAGGTGGAGGAGTCAGGAGGCCGCCAGCATCTTGGGCAACCCCCCCACACCCCCTAACTTTTATTGATTAAGAAAGTGAGGCTCGGGACAGGAAGCCACTTGCTAGTGACCCAGACCAAGACTTGAAGCCAGTAACAAGAGGTGAAAGTTAAGAGGCTGGGGTGGAGGCCTCTCACGACACCCACTGTGATCAGTGCTCGCGGGGTCTCACGTCCCATGAATGTCAGTGCCCAGAAGGGCAGCCACGCGTGAGCTTTATTCGTGCCTGTTGTGGGTGAGACTCCAGCCCAGGAGTCCAGGGCACCGAGCACACCTTCTCTGCCCCTCCAGCCCCACGGCACCGGAATCATCCGAACTGGACAGGAGGTGGGAACAGAAGCAAACACGACGTGTGTATTTCAGGCTTCCCACAATCCGTCTCACTTAGTCCTCAGGATCTTATTCACGGGGAAACTGGGGCTCAGCGAGGTTCACAGGCAGCCCGAAGCCACCCCGCTAGTGAGGTCTGAACCTCCAGAGCTCTGGCCCTGGTGCCTCCTGGAGATGGTGTGCAAGGGGGCGGGGCTGCTCCAGGGCAAGGGGTGGGCTGCGAGTGGCAGGTGGTCTGGGCCTGTCTTTCAGAAACGCCTGGCGCACCCCAGCTGTCCTGACCAGTGGGCTGGGGAAAACAACGCACGAGGCAGCAGCTCTGAGAACCACCGGGTCAGCTCAGTGTGGCACCCGGCACCAGCCAGACACTCGATCAGGCCTCCAGGGCACACGAAGAGAAGGCGGGCCAGGCTGCTGTGCTCCTGACCCCAAGGTCGGAAGGGGGTCTCTGGGAGGGTGGCCTGAAAGAACCAAGATGCTCACTGCTCACAGCCCTGCCTCTGCCCAGGAGCTTCCTCCATGTGATCCCTCCTCCCACCTGCCCCTGTCCCACCAGTGAATTCACGCTCACTTGCTCAGCCAAGATCCCCTCCTGGCTTCCCTCGGGCCAGGGTCGCAGTTCCCTGGGCACCCTCCTCTGTCCCACTGCGAAGTGTCTGCCTCCCCCACCAGACTGAGTTTCCAGGCAGCTTCGCTCCCAGCCCACCTGGAGGACTGTCATCCGGGGTCACAGCCATCCCAGAACTCCCCAGCTGATGAAATGCTGATTCATTTCAGGTCCCTAATCAGGGAGGAGCAGCCAGCTCCCACTTGAGGCCTTAATTACACAGGGTCCGCCCACTCCCCCTGTGACAAATGAGCACATACAAGACCTTGTGTTGACAGAGATTTGAATCCAGGACTGTCTTTCGCTCTGGGGGCCCAGGGACACATGTGCATCTCTGAGGCCTCCAGCGAGGCCACACCTGCCTGAGAACTAGTCACCCCCCACTCCCACCTGGAAGACAAAGGGGAGTCTCAACCATCCCTCCCCCCACCAGGGTGGCTGCCCCTGGCCAAAACCCACTCACTCTTCCCTTAGAAGGGGACTCCCTACACACCAGGACCCCAGCAGTAAGCCGCGGTGAGTGAAGCTCTGAGAGGCTGAGAGAGGCCTCAGCTTCCACAGCCCCCACCTCCAACTGCGCTGTGTAACTCAGAGCTGACTTGCCCGAGACCCCAGAGGGAAGGGGAGGAAAAGGAGCCGCCGTGATCAGGTGCCCGCTGCGCTGCTGGGCCTCTTGCGCAACAATATGCTCTAAGAGGGAAGCAGTGCCCATGTTACAGATGAGAAAACCAGAGCCCAGAGGACTGTGACTCACACAAGGGCTCACAGCCAGGGCCGGAGTCAGACCCAGGCAGTCGCCCCCAAATCCAGGCTTTTAACCATTAGGCTGCTCTGCCCCTGGCCGAGCCCGCAGCTGTGTGAACAAGAGTCTCTGACAACAGCCACAGGAACGAAGACTCGTATTGGCACGAAAACAGCCGATGCCCAAGACAACGGGCCCGATACCAGACAGTCGGCTAATTCTCAGCCGCGACCCAATGGGGTGAGGACTTGCTATTTCCATTTGCACGTGAACAGACTTACACTCGGAGAATTCACATGACTCCTTCAGGCCACACAGCTAACTAGCGAGGGGCAGAGCCAGGGCTTGGAGTAACATGAGTTTTTAGGGCCTGACCTCCTCCCTGGGGCTCGGGGATCTGGAACTGCGTTCCTCCCAAGCAAAGACCTGCCCTGAGCCATCCTGGCTGCAGCCCCACCCTTCCCCACACCACCTGCCCAGTCTCCCTCTTTTTCCAGCCACAAAAAAAAAAAAAGGAAGGAGGCTCACTTACTGTGTCTGGGGCGGGGAGGCCGCTGGGTCTGGGTCTGCGGAGAAGAGCAGAAGGAGAGCCCCGTCAGGCCGGGGCCGGCCTGGTGGACACCCCGTGGTGCAGGAGACAGGGCCTGGCCAGCCTGGGCGCCTGCAGTGCCCGCCTCCTTCTCCCAGTGTCTTCAGTCATCAAGCTCCCCTACCTGTCCTGCCTGCACCACCCCCACCTCCACCCCATGGCCCACATCCCAACTCCAACCAGCACCAGAGGCCCAGCCTACTCCGGGCCTGTCCCCCACCCCCAGCTCCTCAAGGAGTCCCTTGTCCCCAAGGCTGCAGGAAGTTCCTGCTAGTCCAGTCCCCACTCTCTCCCACAGAATCAAGAGCCCAGCAGCTGCCATTTAACACCAGCCTTATCTGGGCCTTCCCGCCCCAGGCCACCCGCTCTCTGGGAGGAGCAGCCACTGGCTGGTGTGATTCCCTGGGAGAAGCTGCGGGGAGAGGGAGACAGAGCCGGGCCAGCCACTTCCATTTACTCTGTGCCAAAGCGCACCAGATGCTGCAGGAATGCTAGGAATGCTTGTTCCCAGGGGAGGCCACGGAATGCAGCTTCTTCCCAGTGGCTTCTCCCTTCCTGCTTCCTGGGGACAACAGAGGAACCAGAGGCAGGACTGGGAGCCTGGAGCTCCACCCCAGCCCAGAAGCCTGGGGATGGGGGGACCCAAGGCTCCCAGAGCACCTTACCCGTGACAGGGGCCGCGTCCAAATGGATCAGTGGGGCGTCTGCGTCCTCTGGAGCAACGCCTGGCATGCCCAGGCCAGCACTGGTGTCCTCGTCATCGTCACTGTCGTCAAAATCAAAGGGCTCTCCAGGGTCGTCCTCCGCCTCTGGGGAGGGGCCTAGGCCTCCTCCAGGAACCAGCTGATCTCCTGGAAGGGAGGAGGAGTTAGTTACCAGCTGGGCGGCAGGGTCTCAGGGTTAGGCCAAGGGAGAGGTGGCTGGAAATGGGTGAGAGCGCAGTTCCCAGAGACCAGAGCAAACCCACGCTCCTGTGCCCCTGAGGTGGCCCGTGGTTGGGTTGGGCTCTGAGCAGCTGGGAGAGGATGGAGGGGCAGAGAGAAAGCCTCCACGGCGAGCATGTGCGCATCTGTACTTGAAGGCAAGTTATTCATCGTCTTGTTTCCTGTTTTCCTATTTTGTAAGTAAGGGGGTTATTTATTTATTTATTTATTAACGGGGCTCCGGCCAGTTTCATTAAAGGAAATTTTTGCACGATTTGCTTCTCACCGGCCTGTCTGGCACGCCTCTAGTGATATCGGAACCCCCTGGGTCAGCGACAGCCCGTGTGCACGCTCTAGTATTGTCCACACGCTGTGCCCGGTTCGGTGTCGTTGCACTGCAGTGATGGGCAGCTGTCTTGGGCGACCAGGCTGGTGCTCTATCTCAGGATTGCTCCAGGCGGGGCAGGTGCTGGCGAGGATGAGCAGGTTCGCTTTGCTTCGTCTGCTCAGCCTGGGACTCTGCTTGTGCCCCAGCGCCGACTCTCCACTTTTCATAGCAGGTTGGAGCCTACAGCGAATCGACCAGCGACGCTTTCGTCTTCTTTCCTGCCTTGGCATAGTGCCTGGCATTTGTGCTACCTCACAGCTTTGTCCCAGTGGCTTCTCCCTTCCTGTTGTCGTAACCACTGCCCCTCCCACCTGAGATCCTTGAGGACAGGACGGTCTGGTCCACGGGTGCTCACAGCTGGAGGATGAATGGGCAGGGAGGTGGATGGAGCAGAGATGGGTGGATGGACCAGCAGATGGACAGATGGACAGATCCGATCCCAGCAGTCTCTCTGACCAGAAAAATCCAACCCCTCTCCCACAGCGACCTGGGGCCTCCAGAGCAGAACGTGTTAGGTGCGAATGTATCAAATCCCAGAAGCCCTTTCCTCGGCAGAACCCATAGCTCACCCTCCCTCCCCAACTTCCTCTGCGGGATAATGGCCAGATGAAGGCCACTGAGCTGGGGACCCCGCCCCTCCTGGAGCTTTGGGGACCCCATGGGCCAACAGCGGCAGGTGGACTCCGCTGGGCACGAGCTCCTTGGCAGGTGTGGAGAAACAAACTCGGCTGAGAGCCTTAGGTGTGCCCCGCGGAGCCCCCGCTGAAGCCTCACAACCACCCCATCGCATGCCACGAGGCCACGGGGTTTCCAGAGCGAAAGTGCCCGCAGCCACACAGCTAATAAGTGGGGAGCCGTGTCTGAACGCAGATCTGGCTTCGCTCGCGTCTCTCACTCTTCCCACTGAGCCCCGCTGCCTCCTAGAAGCCGTGTGCTCCCTGGACACCTGGCCCGGGTGATGCGCTAACAAAGGAAATGCGGGGCCCGCGTGGGAAGCGGGTCATGGTTTTCAAGTAACAGGTCTCCACCCACTGGTGGGTCACAAAAGCAGCTAGGAGCTTCCCAGACAGCATGCTGTTTTGTGTATGGACTGCCTATTTGATATATTTTTAAATTTTGTAATAGTCATAAAATCACAGTATTACTTTTGATATTGTTTGTTGCGCTTCTGTTCAGTTAATGTGATATATCAAACTGTTTCAGTTTCAGGTAATGTGTGTATGCTTCCCATTTTGTGTGTGTGCATGCATGTGTATGCATGTCTTGTGCATGTGTGTGCATGCATGTATGTGTGTGTGCATGTGTGTGTGTAACCTTCCACTGCTCTCCCACGCTCAGTCCACTGCAGCCACACTGGCCTCCTTGCTGCACCATGAATGAGCCACACGTGCTGCTGCCTCGGACCTTTGTTCTCTAGCGCAGGGTCCAGATGCTCTTCCCCAGGTGTCTTCTCCTTCTCACCTCCTTCAGGTCTTCCCTATACACACCTCCGTGACCAGAGCCGCCCACGGGAACACTGGGGCTCCCTCCCTCACGGGGCCACATTGTTCTCTGTGGCCCTGCGAGTACGTGACATGCTCCAACTTTCATTCACCTTACTGTCCGTCTCCTCCATGAGAGCAGGCACTCTTGCCTATTTCACTCATTGTTGAATCCCCAGCATCTGGCACAGTGCCAAGCACATGGCAGGCACATACTAAGTATTTGCTGAATTCACACACACACATATACTCCTGTGGTCTTATCTATGGGTTGTGGTTTTAAAAATTCAAAAAATATGGAAACAAATGACGAAAAATCCCTGCCCACCACTTCTGGGCAGCGGGATGCAGGCCCATCCTGACCAAGAGGGCTTCAGCGCCCTGGGTGCCTGCCCACTGGAGTCTGCTGGGCGGGCAATGGCGGGGAGGGATGCCCTTTACGCCCGGCACCCGACCGGTATCACTGCAGTGAATACAGTCTCAGTCCATCTGGGTCAGACTCCAGCTCTCCCACACACGGGCTGTGTGAGCGTCAAGTTAGTCTACCCGCCCAGCTGCAGTTCCCTGCTCTGTAAAACGAGAACAATAATCGTAACCACCTTATCATGTTGTTGGGAGGATGGAATGAATGAACTAACGCATACAAAGCACCTGGAGCCAGGTACGTGCTCACTGAATAGCATCATTCTTATGATGATGATTCTATTCATTATCACTGTCATTGCATCATCATCACCATCATTACTGTCATTATTATTACTACTACTATTGCCCTGAGTCACAGCCCAGTCCTTGCCCCTGGGTGAGATGGGCAGGCCTTCCCCACTCACAGGCCAGGCCCAGACCATGTCCAGGGACTCAGGCCATTTCTGCACCTTCTCCTTTTGCGAGTACAAATGGCCTCAGTTAGCCATCAATCCACACAGTCATTCCCACCTTCAGTGAACTGTTCCCGGCAGCCCCTGGACCATGACCTGTGCACGCCAGCCCAGAAGATGGGACCTCTCAGTGCCAAGGCGCTCACTGCGGGGTGAGGCAGGCGGAGGAGACAAGAGAGAAACATAAAACCCAGAGACTGAGCTGGCGCTGAAAGAGAGGAGAGGGGCCCATGCCAGCCAGGGCCTCGGGCAAAGGCTGCCCCGCGCAGAGCACTGAAGGGTGAGCAAAGGTCCAACAGGATCGGGTGGGCAGAGGTGTTCCAGGCTGAGCCCAGAGCAGGTGCAGAGAACATCGAGGGGCCCAGTGGAGCTGAACACGTGAGCAAGAATGAAGAGCTATGAGATGACAAGAGGTGCTTCGGGAATCTGGATTTTATTTGAATCCAGGAAGCTCTCAGAGTCAGAAAATGGCCAAGAGCCTGGCTCAACCAGAAGACAGTCACCAGCAACATCAGACAGACCTGGGACAATAAATGCCCATCAAATATTTCTTGAATAGAACTGAGTAGATTTAATCATAAAATGATTTTGTTCTCACTCTCCGTGTCTGGGCCCCTTGGGAGGTAAGAGAAAGGAGGCAAGGTGACCATGGCAGCAGGGGCTGGGGTGGACACATCCTGGGACCCAAAGTCACGGCCATGAATCAGGAGATGCCCTTGTCCCCAGTGCTGTTCCCAGGCTCCTGGGTCCCAGGCAATCAGACCTTGCTCTTTATCAGAAGGAAAAATCAGGAGGCCCATCCCTGGATAATTGACAGCTGAACGAAGCCCTTCCCGCCCATCTAGACAGGTGGCATGGCCAGAGCTGGCCACATACACCTTTGATGCTCCTGGACACGCCCTGTCCTCGGGAGAGCCAACCCCAGTGAGGCCAGGAGGCCGGGCCCAGAAAGCCACTCGTGCTGTGGAGAAGGCAGGTCCACCTGCTGAGACCCACCCTCCAGAGAACACAGCGTGCAGGGCACACGCAGCGCACACAGCATCCTGCCAGCGCCCCACAGTGGTAACAGCTTCCATTCATTGAGTGATCGATGACCACACGCCAGAGCCTTACCTATATTTAAGCCTCGCCATAAGGGAGGGTGTCATCATTATCCCCAGGTCAATGGGTGATGACAGGGAGCCATAGAGACACCCAGCCACCAAGGGGCAGTGGCAGGGTCAGGCTGAGAAAGAGCCCTCCTCGTTGCCACTCCGCTGTCCGCCTCCCCTAGTGGGAGCAAGAGGACAGGACGCCGGGCCTAGTGGGTGAACCAGCCTGGGTCCAACTCCTCCCAGGCGGGGCCTGAATTCCACCTGTGGTGTCTGATGCCCCACTGCCTGGGTTGCCAGATAAAACACAGGCTGTCGAATTGAATTTCAGGTGAACAACAAATAATTGTATTAACATAAGTATTTTTTTGTTGGGAGGTGGGGGTTTTTTGTTGTTGTTTTTGGAGCAAGTCTGAAAGCTCTACCACGGGATGGCCAGACCTTGGCACCTTCACAGATGGAGAGAGACGGCCCAGCCCATCCCCTCCACCCTCGGGCCCCGCCCTCGATTCATAAGCTTCATCCCCTGGCACACTTCAATCCCAGACGGGCTCTGCCCATCTCTCCAGGGGACCTTAGGGACACAGGGTAAGAATCGACCCTTGTTGGGAGCCCACTCTGAGGAGGTAATTATTCTTTCCCTGTTGCAACAAGGAAACTGAGGCAGAGAGGTGAAGTCACCTGCCCGAGGGCACACAGCTAACTGCCAGTGACGCCAGATTCGCACCCCCCAGGGTCAGCCTGCTCCCCAGCTGGTGGCCCTCTCCCAGGGTACGGTACCTGTAGCAGCCTGTGGAGGAGGACTGGAGGAAGCCATCAGACAAAGTCCAGCTCAGATCAGCACCGTCCCAGCCGCTCGCCTGCGAAAAGAAGGCCAGAAGTCTAATTAGATGACGTTCAAGGCCAAAGCTTCAGCAACAGAGAGGGGTCACCGGCTCAGGACCTGTGCGCTGCAGCCGCCAGCTCTCACACTCCTTCCCCAGCAGCCCGGGAGCCCAGGACAGCCCAGGAGGGCCCAGCCCCCACCATCGTAAATCATTAACCCGGAAAAACCAGCAGCTGCAGGACCATAACCCTGTCTTCCCAGAAAGCCCCTGCCGCCACTGGCCTTCGCTTTGACCAATGCCAGGGACCCTCAGGAGCCTGGTGGGTCCAGCTACACTACACCTGCCCCTTTTGACTTACGGATGAAGCTCCAGCCCCCGAAACCAGGATCATGCTCAGCCCCCATGTCCCAGGAGTTTATGACACCTGAACTCTCAGGGAGGTGGCCGGACACTTCCGCCTCCTGGCTGTCCAATAATCACAGGCTCCCCGAGCCCAGCCGCTCTCACCAGCCCCTGCCGAGAGCCCGCTGAAGGCCATTCGCTCTCTGTCCCTCCCTGTCCTGCCCAATGGGGTTGGCCAGCCGGCAAGGGGCCACCCAGGATTGGCACGTGGGTATAAGGAAAGGAAAAGGGTGCAGAGAGGCCGATAGTGCAAGACAGGGGCAGAATCCCACATGCTCGGAGCGGGAGGCAGAGCTTCTGCTGGCCTCACAGTGGGGGCTCACGCCACCCAGAAGCCAGTGCCTCTGGTGGCTCCCTGGGCCCTGGAGCAAACCTGCCAGATGTCCCTGCCGAGCAGTGAGGGAGAGTTCTCCCGCTCCCTACCGGCACTCCTGGTTGGGAACGAGGGGCTGTCCTTCTAGACTTCCCTGTGGAGGAGAGAGGCATCCCGGAGGGATAGCACCAGCCCTTCCGTCTACTCAGCCCCCGCCATAAACTGGCTGCGTGTCTGTTTTCCTTTCCACCCCTAAAGCCTGTGCTTCTATTAACTGGCTTCCTGACTAAGAACAGAATGCACGTAAATGGCAGTGAATTAATAACAGCAAACATTCATGTAGCGCCTACTCTATCTCAGACATTAAGCACTTTACATATAACGGTGACAGATAGGAATCCACATTATAAAGGAGAACATGAGAGGCCCAGAGTAGTTGAGTAAGTTGCCCAAGATCACACAGCTGGTAAGTGGCAGAGCCAGGGTTGGAACCCGGGCCATGGGCCCCAGAGTCTGAGCTCCTTAAGTAACCACCGTGCTCTCAGAATCCGAACCCAGGGTGCACAATGAAAAGTGAGTCTCTCCCTACCCCAGTCACCCTAATCCCCCAGAAGTGACCACTGTTATGGTTCCCTACGAAGCCTCCAGAACTATCCCACGGACGAACCAGCCGGCATACCTGGCTAGCTGCCTTGTTTTGTACAGGAGGAAGCACACCGGCCCCGCTGGGCCGCAACCACATTTTTTGCTTAAGAATCTCGGGGATTGTTCCAGAACAGTACACAGAAATGGCTCACTTTTTTAAATGGCTGCATAATATTGTTTTTAATGTACCGCTGTTGACCAATGTACCAACGGACACGGAGGCTGTTTCCAGGCCTTCGGTGTTATAAACAATGCAGCAGCTAACATCCTCCCTACACAACGCCTTGAGTGAGGGGGTGCGTGAGCCAGGACGCATGCCTTGAAATGGACCTGCTGGGTCAGTTTTGATTGAATGCAAATTGCTCTCCACTAAGTGTGTGACTGAAGACTCTCAGGACTAAAATGTCGTTCCCAGCACAGGATTTGGGAAAACGAACTAAAATGCCTGCGTGCCCCTTTGCACGCTGCAAGAGCAAGCAGCAGCTGCACAGCATCCTCCTGCAGCTGCCTCCTCCTGTGGGCTCATTCAGAACCGCTCAGGAAGGAGCAGGGAGTCGGATACCCATTTTACAGGAGGAAGGAGGGAGGCGCCTAGCACAGGCCTGTGTGCAAACTGCTCCTTCAATGCAGTTTTCTGATGATGCAGAAACCCAGGATCATCCCTCCAGGCCAGACAGTCTGCGGTCCTCCTCTCTCTCCTCACCCTGCAGGGCTGATTGCCGCCCTCCACTCCAAGCCCAGGGCTTTCCCCAGAAAGGGAGACAGCAACATCCATAAAGCCAGAGCTTTATTTGCATTGTTCCATTTACAGATAAGGAAACCAAAGCTAGGAAGAGCAAGGTGTTGCCCCGGGTCACAGACGCAAGGGAACAAGGTGACAACACTAGGAATCAGTCGGAGGGCATGGCCCCCCCAAACCTGGTGTCACTCCTTTAACCATACAGCCTCCCAGGACTTTGGGGCTGGAATATAGGGGCGGGGGGGAGTTGGGGGACTATAAGCTAATCTCAGGCAGTGAGGTCTTGGGCAAGGACACATGCATGCCCATAGGCCTATGGCCACCATTGTGTGCACACAGGTACCCTTAGTTCACAGGATGTGGGCAAGGGAGTAGGGATGGCTCACAGCAGCCCACTGTCACCACTAGAGACCCTCAGGGTGCAACAGTTAGGAGAGAGTCCAGGCTACCTGCTACCACCTGGGCGGGCCCCACCACTCAGCAGCCGACACCTTGGATGCGTTACTTAACCCCCATCTCTGGGCTTCAGTTTACTCACCCTCAGAATGGAGATTACAAAGTAGCCACCGCAAAGGGTGATCGAGGAAGTTAGAAGTAAAAACGTGTAAAGCCTTGGGACCCACCGGTCTGTGCTGTCAGGCTCGGGTGGTGATGACCGCAGCTCTGCCTTGAGAGTCGGGGACCCAGGCTGGAGTCTCAGCTCCGCGGGCAGGCGAGCTGAGCCTCAGTGTCATCTGTAAATGGGGCCAGCTGTCCCACGGGACTCCCAGCAGCACACCAGAGGTCAATCGCAAAGCCCCGGGCAGACTCGGTCAGAGCCAAGATGCCTGTCCTTAAAGCTGTCACCACCTAAATGGGGGGCAGCAAATGGGTCTCTGTGTCTGGGCTCCATACCCCAAGAGGGTAAGGGACCCGAGGTGGGCTCACAGAGGGACCCCGAGGCCCCAGGGCTTCAAGCTGTGGGGATGTGGGACTGCGGCCTGGGGCAGCCGGAGCCACCTGCAGGCTGGGCTCTGCCTCGTCCCCTCAGTGACCTTGACTTCCCCTCCCATCAGTGACCTTGACCTCCCCAAGGCCCCTCATGGCCCAGGGCTTTGTCTCTTAAAAGTGGAGCCCGCACCTGCTCAGACCATCCCAGGGGCTGCTACACGCAAGGAGCCAGGTCATGGGTGGCAGCGACAAGGCCACAGTGGTTACAAGGATGAGATTTATTGGAGCTCTGAGTTCAGATCCCAGTCTGCACTTGCCGGCAGGACAGTGAACACCTTTCTCACAGGTCCCTGGCAAGCAGAGTTCCCACGGGGATGGGAAGAGGGCTGTGCGGGTGTGCAAGGTATTCCACAGAGTAAGCTGTCCGTGCACACTGGCCACCATTATCTTTACGACGGTAACAACGTCATGCTTGGGTGATAGGGGAGAGTTCTTCTCTTGGGGGGTCATCTCTTTAAAGAGGCTGCCATACTGGCCGGGCAGGCAGACCCCCAAAAGGTGCCCTTTCCTGCTACACGACGCAGAAGGGCCACAGTCAGACAGGGTGAGACGCTGGGAGTCAGGGCGGAAGCCCCAGCTCGAGCTGCAGGGTGTGTCTCAGCCCATCACGCTCACTACTGGGACC